AGGGAAAACAAACTTACCTGGGCCATTTGATGGAGCAATGCACTGATAGAACAGGCTCCATACCAGGAAAAGTCAAAGGATTTGTCAGTAAAGTGAAAGAGATTAAATAACCTGACATTCAGATCATCCATTACATCCACAGCCATAAAGCTCTTGTAGCCAAAACAATGCTACCAGAGTTAGTTGCAGCATTAAAGAACTGTATATTATATAAAAGCATGAGCATTGAAACCACATTTGTTCACTATTTTGTGTGTAGAGATGGGAACCAAACATCAAAGTTTATTGCTACACACCAAGGCATGATGGTTATCATGGGGGAAGGATCTCTTTCCTGTCTATGGGCTCTGGAGACAACTGACAGAGTTTTCAACAATGCATGAACTGCCTTACAAAGAGTTTCTATCTGATGGTTACTGATGGGCTAAGCTGACATATCATGCAGACATTTTCAGCCATCTGAATGAACTCGTTACTAAAATGCAGGAGAAGAATGAAGCCATCCTGACCATCATACATTAACTTCAAGGTTTCAGGTCAAAACTGGGCCTTTGGCAAGAGACAGTGGCAGGGGGTTCACTTGAAGTGTTTCCTCGAGCATCGTCAGTGGCAAATGCATCAGTCAAGATGCACAGTCTCATATTCAAACATCTCAAAGCACAGCAAGAGAAACTTGAGTGCTACTTCCCCTCAATAAATGTAGAAGACTATGACTGGATCCATTTAGTTCAATATCCTCTGATTCATCACAGAAGCTGACATTAAAAGGGAAAGTGGAACACGCAGAGCTATGGATGGACCACACAATAAAGCTGAAGTATAGCGATTTGTCTTTGTATGTGGTTTGGTTGACTGTAGTACGTGAATATTGGATGATCTCTGACCTTGCTTATTACTGTGCTATTGCCATTTGCGACAACATACCCCTGCAAGCTAGCATCTTCAACACAGGTATATATGAGAAACAATAAAGGGAGCACTTGGCAGTGGAGCAAGGTTTTTGGCAAGACTCTCATCAAGTCCTCCTCTCACCAAAAGCCACGGTGCACAATAGCAACGCAGGATTCCCTGTTAAATTGCAGTTTACTTTGTGTTTTACTCTGATCCATTGCTCATGAATAGTTAAAAATAGTTTGAGTTGAGCAGATTTTGAAAATACATCTGTTCTCACAATCAAAGGTAGTGTATTTTTTTTCTGGTGGGTTTAAAGCACTAATGTTTTGATCCCTTTTTAGCTTGTTGAATGCACTATGTTGCAAACTCTCCAGTAAAACTGTAACCATAGTAAATACAAATAAATGTGACATTTATGAGCAATCAAATCAGCTGAAAAAAGTGGATGTGGCATGAAATTTCTGTCTCATTGAAGTATGTCTTGATATTGAAAGGGTTGGGAACCACTGCCTTAGTACATTCCAAATCTATGACCATTATCATCTAGATGGAGAAGCACAGCTGATACATGGGGACTTGCAAGTTCCCTTCCTAGCCATTCACCATCCTGACTTGCAAATATATCACTGTTCCTTCAGTGTCACTGAGTCAAAATCCTGAAACATCTGCCTTAATGGTATGGTGAGTCTGCTTACAGTATATAGACTGCAGTGGTTCAAGAAGGCAGCAAACCACCACCTTCTTGAGGCAACCAGGGATGGGAAATAAATGCTGGCCTAGTCAGCGACAACGACATCCTATGAGTGAATTAAAAAAATGGCCTGGTCAGACTAAACTCTCACCCAGTTGCTACAGTGTATGGCTTAAAACTGCCAGGCCTTTACTCCTAGAGTTACTGACTACAAAGTTCAAGAATCCTTAGCTGAGCCACATCCTTCCACCTTCCACAATGGCAGCCCAGTAGCACAGTGGTTATCACTTCTGCCTCAGAGTACCAGAGGCCTGAGTTTGATTTCAGACTGTCTGTGTGGAGTTTGAATGTTCTCTCTGTTCCCACTGGCACTCCAGCTTCCTCCCACAGTCCAAAGATGAGTGGGTTAGGTGGATTGGCCATGCTAAATTGCCCCACAATGTTGAGGGATGTGCAGGCTTGGTGATAAACCATAGGGAAGGCAGGGTTACAGGGTTAGGGGAGGGTGTGGGTCTGGGTGGGATACTTTTAGAAAGGTTGGTGTAGACGCAATAGGCCAAACGGCCTTTATTTGCACTGTTGTGCTTCTTTGATACAGTCACTGAACTACTTCTTGAATAAAAGAACATTCAATCCATCAAGCACCCTTCCTCCATAACCTTAATGTCATCAGTCTCCAGACACCTATTAATGTTTGTTTTGAATCTGCTTAATGATTGAGTTTCCACAGATCTTTGGGGCAGAGAATTCCAAAAATTCACCACCCTTTGAATGAAAAAATTGAGTGAAACAGTGTCTGGAATCACCAGCCAGGGAAAACATCCGATCTGTATCAACTCTGTCATGACCTGGAAGAATTTTATAAGTTTCAATGAAATCACTTCTCATTCCTCAAAACTGTGGGGAAAACAGATCCAGTTTACTCAATCTGTCCTCGTGAAACAATCCTTCCATTTTAGGGATTAATCTGGTCAACTTCTGTTGCACTCCCTCTACAGCAAGTATATCCTTCCTTAGATAAGGAAATCAAAATTCTACACAATACTGCAGGTGAGATCTCACCAATGTTCTATACAATAGCAGCAAGGCATCTTCTGTACACAAATCCTCTCAAAATGATTGCCAACATACAGATGCCTTCTCACGTGATTGTTGCATTTTCACACCAGCTTTTAGTGACTCATGACAAAAATACTTAGATTCCATTGGACATGAACACTTTCTAACTTCTTATCATGTTTTTTTTTTCTCTACTGGATTGAATAATTTCACGTTTATTCACATTATATTCCATCTTTCTTGTCCTAGCCCATATTGCGTAGCCTGTCCAAGTCCTCTTCAAGCCTCCTTGCACTCTCTCACAAATTATGTTACCAGCCAATTTGGCGTCATTAGCAAATTTGGAAATATTTCTGATGGTCCCCATTTATTTAGATTGTGAACAGTTGTGGACTTAGCACTGTCCCTTGAAGTACCTTACTAATAACAACCTGCCATCCTAAGAATGATCTGTTTATCCCTGTTGTTTCTTTTCTGTCTTTTAATCAATTCTCAATCCATAATCTCAGAATAAGGGGACCCCCATTTAAGGAGATGAGAAGGAATTTCTTCTGTCAGAGGTTAGTGAATGTGTGGAATGTCACAGCAGAGGGCTCTCGAGGCTGGGTCATTGAGTATATTCAAGGCTGAAATATACAGATTTTTAATCAGTATATAGAAAAAAGGTAGGAAAATAGAGTTGAGGATTATCAGGTCAGCCATGATCTCAATGAATGGTGGAGCAGACTTGATGGGCTGAATGGCCTACTACAGCTTTGGTCTTTATGGTCTTGTGGTTGGACACATTTCCCTGATTTGTGGTGTCTAGAATCATAGTCACACTCTCAGGATACAGTGTAGCCCATTATTAGGCAGCATGGTGGCTCAGTGGTTAGCACTGTTGCCTCACAGCACCAGGAACCCGTTTGATTCCTAACCTCAGGCAACAGTCTGTGTGGAGTTTGCACGTTCTCCCTGTTCCTGCAAGGGTTTCTGCTGGGTGCTGTGGTTTCCTCCCACAGGTTAGGTGTGTTGGCCATGCTAAATTGCTCCATAGAGGGGTAATTGGATGTGCAAGCTATATTAGCCATCGTAAACGCAGGGTTATGGAGATGGAGGGGGTTGGATCTGGGTGGGATGCTCTTTGGAGGGTTAGTGCAGACTTGATGGGTTGAATGGCCTTTATCTGCACCATAGAGATTCTGTGACATTCCAAGACTGCAATGAGGAAAATTTTCTTCACTCAAAGTTTAATGGATCAGTGGAATTCTCTACCATAGAGAGTCGAGAAGGCCAAATTAGTGAATATATTCAAAAAAGAGATGTATAATGTTTTAGATTTTTAAGGCATCGAGGGATAGGAGGAGAAAGCAAGAATATGACATTCAGTCAGAGGATCAGCCATGGTCATATTGAATGGCAGACCAGGCTCAAAGGGCCAAATGGCCTACTCCTGCTCCTAGTTTCTATGTTATAATAAATTCTAACATTATCCCTTCTATACATGGCAAGCCAACAGATTTGTAGTTTTCTAATCTCCCTCATCTTCCCTTCTTAAATTAAAGTGGGAATTACATTTGCTATTTCACAATCATTGAAATCAATAGAGAGAAGTAAAGTGACTCACCAACGTGCATTTTGTACCATTGTATAAAATTAAGTGAGAAGAAATTTTTTGACAAACTAAAATTTATTGTTGTCTGGTTCCTCCTTAAAACAATTTAGACAATGGTTAGTAATAGAGTGAAGTAGTGAAACAATTCCCAGTTCAGAATATGCATTTTATTTTCAAAAGTCTCAAATGGACAAATGGAAAGCATTATGATAAAAATATTTCAAGAACATATCACTTCTGAGGTGCTGATAAACTGAAGAAGTGCCACTGTTGAATTTGCCTATATTCTATTTCTGAATGAATAATTCAATTATAATAACATAGCACAATTGTTTGAATTCTAACTTTCAATTTATCTCAGGGCTCAAGAATTTGTTTAAACAGAAAACCAACTACATGCATTTGTGTTAACAAGGTGTACAGCTGGATGAACACAGCTGGCCAAGCAGCAGTCTGAGATAACAAGGTGTAGAGCTGGATGAACACATCTTTTCTGAAGAAGGGTCTCGACCCGAAACGTCAGCTTTCCTGCTCCTCTGATGCTGCTTGGCCAGCTGTGTTCATCCAGCTCTACACCTTGTTATCTCAGACTCTCCAGCATTGGCAGTTCCTACTATAGCATGCATTTGTGTAGCATTTTTACTTTCAAAACAGGCCAAAGCTGTTCATAGATCTATAATCAGACGAAAAATGACACCAAACCAAAGAAGATATCATGAGGGTAACTGAAATCATGTTCAAAGCAGTAAGTTTTAAGGAACTTTATGTTTTGGAGGAAGATTTTGCAGCTAGATGTGCATGACCCATCAAACCACATTTTGTATTCAATTCAGGCCACAGTAAAAGAACGTAACATTTAGGAAAGAAGATGCAAGCAAGAAGGCCAAAGCTTGAGGATAGGATAGCAAATATTTCTATTGCAACTAAATATTTTCCTTTACTACTGAAATAAGCTGGTAGGAAGGATACCCATACAGCAAAAAAGATAAATAGGCTAAAAGTGATAAATTTTGCCTCATTGAAGTTGTTAGGCAATTTTCGGGCCAGAAATGCCAAAACGAAACAGAGAACAGCTAGGAATCCAACATATCCCAAACTGCCAAATAATGCATATTGAGATCCTTTGCTGCATTCTAGAATGATTTTTTCCAACTACAGCCTTTGTGTTTTTCTCCACAGCAATTGGTAACGACAACAAAAACCCAATACAGATACATATCTGAATGAGTGTTGTGGCTGCAACAACCAAACGGTGATGCATGGGCTGGAAGCATTTTAATATATTTTGATTGGGTGTTGTCATTGTGAAAGCCAGTACTACTACTACAGTTTTAACAAGGATGCATGACAGGCACAATGAAAAGCTGATGCCAAATCCTATTTGACGGAGGACACAAAATTTAACTGAAGGCTTGCCAATGAATGCAAGAGAAGTCGGGAAACACAACATTAAAGAAAATAGGAGGAGGAAACTAAGTTCGTAGTTATTAGCTCATACAATGGGTGTATTCATGAACTTTATAAATATCAGAATAGTAGCTGCAGAGATAATACCCCCTAATATTGAAAATAATGTCAAAACACTTCCCAATGGTTCATAAAACGATAGGAACTCCACCTCCTTCAGCACACACCAATCTTTCCTTTTATTTGACCAGTAATCTTCAGGACACTGGAAACATTCTGTGAAACATGAAGAAGAAATTCAATATTTCAAGTAAATCTAAAATTATTATTCAACTTTTGTTATATCTTTTAAAAGGAATAACAGAATTGACATCACATGGTACAAACATATTCTTCACAAAATCAGAAAGTGGATAATTTCTCCAAATTGGCCTTTATTATTCTTTTCAATTTCTGTTGTGATCTTGTTACTATGCCAAAACTATGGAGAAAATCTCTGATTTAGACACAACCAGCAGAATTTCATGTCCTCCCCAAAGCATATTTGGAGGTGGGGCCGTTAAATCAGGCAGGAGTGGTTGAATGGGGACCTTGCCACTTCCTTGCCTCTGCCCCAATAAGGCTGTCTATAAACCTTCCCACCACAATGCTCTTGAGGCCCTGAGGAGAATCCTCTGAACATAAAATAGAAAAAAAGTTAAAACAGACAGCGTTCACAGCTACAGATCATCCTCGTCTGGGGGAAACTTTTCTGCCTGCAGCCAGGTTCAGATCATTGTTGCAGAATCAAGAAAAGATTATGCTAATGAACAAATAACTAGGATATAAAACATGTGACTTGCAGACATAGTCAGTTTTGGTCACAGCATACATGTATAAGGATGTGTCAAGCTTCCAGTTCAAATTTATTTCGATTATATGTAAGTTTACCTGTGCCATTCGATATCTCTCCATCAGCACATGGAATGCAATCAAAGCAGCAGATTGGTTGTCCTTGCTGAACTCTTTTCCGAGTTCCTGGTTTGCAATTTTCACTGCATACAGATTGGGGAACCTTGGCACAGAAAAAGACAATAACACACAATAAAATTAAGCTGAAATAATGTTTGGGAAAATGTATCTTGTTTTTTACAGTGTTAGTGAGCGCAGTTTTAGTTAGCATCACATCTCATTTCAGAGCCAAGTGGCTCTGACATCCATCATGCTTCGAGAGGTTAGTAATTGTACACATTGTCTCCAGCCTCCCAGATTGCCTAGATCCACTATAATTAGCCTACCATCACAATAGATCTACGGCAGACGCCATCTCCCTGGATCTGCACTCATCATTGGGACATCTGTAACAACGATGCCTACATCACAGACTCCTTTTTATTGGCTTTAGTTCCACCTTCAACTCAATAATTCCAATAACATTCATCTCCAAATTCCAAGATCCAGGACTCTGCTACCCGCTCTGCAACTGGATTCTCAACTTTCTGACCCACAGACCCACCTATTAGTAAGGATAGGTGACAACACCTCCTCCACAATAATCCTCAACATCAGTGCCCTGCAAGGCTGCGTACTCAGCCCCTTACTACACTCCTTATACGTTCACGACTGTGTGGCCAAATTCAGCTCTAACTCATTTTACAAGTTTGATGATGACACCACTGCAGGAAGTCAGATCTTAAACAATGGTGTGACAGAGTACAGGAAGGAGATAGACAACTTGGTGGCATGGTGCAAAGGCAACAGTCTCTCCCTTAATGTCAGAAAAATGAAGGAGCTGGTCATTGACTCCCTGGCTGTATCAAGGCTGCTAAGGTGCAGGTGGCCGAAAGCTTCAAGTTCCTATGAGTAAATATCACCAACAATCTGTCCTGGTCCATCCACGTCAATGCTACAGTCAAGAAAGCACACCAACGCCTCTATTTCCTCAGAAGGCTAAGGAAACTCAACATGTCCAAAATGACTTACCAATTTTTATAGATGCATATAGACATTATCCTATCCAAATGTATCACAGTTTGGTATGGCAACTGCTTTGCCCAAGACCACAAGAAATTACAAAGAGTTGTGAACACAGCCCAATCCACCATGAAAACCAGCTGACATAATTTAACATCCCTCCCACCCCAGTTATAGTTTGTTCCACCCTTTTCAATGGGGAGAAGATACAAAAGTTTGAAAACACATACGAACAGATTTAAGAACAGCTTCTTCCCTGCTGTTATCAGACTTATGAATGAACCTCTCATATGTTAGAGTTGATCTTACTCTGCACCTTCTGTAACATTATATTCTGTATTCTATTCTATTACTCTGACATACTTATACAAGGTATGATCTTTCGGGTTAGCATGCAAAACAATACTTTTCACTGTATCTCAATACATGTGACATTAATAAATCAAATAAAATCAAATTAGTATTTACATTGTTCAAATGAAACCTAAAGAGCATATTTAATTTTCAGTGTTAACACAGATGATTGTTTAACTGGTTGTCAGTGTAAGTACTGAGTATGTCTTACCAACACCAGGATGGGTACTGCCTGCGTGCATGTGTGCAATTAGTAGTGATAATGTGAAATGCCATGATAAAGCTTTCTGGCTAACTGCTTGGCTGTCCTCCAGGCTGTTGCCCCTCCTGGCTGCTGGTCATTGACCACTAACCAGTTCAGTTGCTACCAACCAGAGGACCCCACACTTGCTACTGGCTGCATCCCTTTCTGCATGACTTGCCACTTCACTGAGAGAGTGGGGCAATGAGCAAGGTGAGAGCAGAAGCACCAACTGCTGTTTCTGAACATGCCTTTGGTCAATTCACTTCAGGGACAACTCTTGCATGGAAGTTTTATCTTTACTGTATACCAGGAAGTCAACAAGTCAACTGCATCCTGCTGTCATCCACTGGAACCAGCTTTCAACAGAGTTCTGAGATAGTAGGAACTGCAGATGCTGGAGAGTCTGAGATAACAAGGTGTAGAGCTGGATGAACACAGCAGGCCAAGCAGCATCATAGGAGCAGGAAGGCTGACGTTTTGGGCCTAGACCCTTCATCATCCTTCAACAGAGTTCTGCCTGGCTTGTAGCATCTAACACTGCTATGCACTATTATGCATAAAGCTGATGTTCCTCTTGTTCAATGTCCTCATCTTCTTCCTTGGAAGACTGCTCTAGCTCTCCCAACTCTTCAGAGTCCATCACATGCACTCCCAGCCTCTTCCAGTTGTCCAGAGCACACCATGCAGGCTAGGATTATGCAGCATACTCTGTCTGGAGTATACCACAAGGCCACCCGTCCCCTCCCTCCCAGACCAATTCAAGCAACGGACTATCATTTTCAGCAGGTATATCGTCTACTCCACTATGGCACTGGTCAAAAAATGTATCTATGCTCCATCTCAGTCAACAACTTGTCTAATGGAGTCATCAGCCATGGTTGCAGAATGTAGCCCTTCTCTCCCAGTAACCATCCTTGTCAGGCATCTGGACCTTGAAATGAATCATAAACATGGACATTCTCAAGGACATAGGTATCATGGCAGCTCACAGGTAACCTGGCACAGACTTCTACAATATGGTATCGACGATCACAGATGAAATAAGATCCTTTCTAACAGTCTATCATGGCCTGCACCTGGGGGAGCCAGCTATATTGCCAAAGCTCACTGCCCAGGCTGCAGGACCAAATCATCAAATTGGGGGAAATAATCTAGCTAATGTGTTTAAAGCTGTAGCGTTCATTTTCAACTAGCTATTTACTAAATAATGTGAAATCAGTTGCAATAAAGCTTGCAGTATGAGGCCTTAATTGTGCTGATTTTGAATCGCAGCCATCTGTTATTAAGTTATTAAGCAACTAAATGTCAGCACTTTTCCACATCTGATATTCCACTTATTGAGTAGTAAATGTTGATATATGGAAGATTCCTGATTTTAAACTTATTTTTAGTCCACAGTCCATAGGTCTTTCAAGCTATTCAAATTTGTAAGAAACTTATGCAAACTCAGAGATTAACTTAAATTACTTGTATATCTGTTCTACAAATGAATGCTTACTCTTTATGGAAAGTGAAGTTGAAGTTAAGCATTCACCTGGATTTCTCAGTCAAAGGGGAAATGATGGTATTCACCAGAAACTTCAAAAAAAACTGCCTGAAAGATTGAACAATCTCTGTCCTGTGGACTTCTCTTTTTCCAACCTTACTTTGAATCTGCTGCCAAGTCAAGAGGATTTCCAGATATCCAGCAACAGATTTTCATCAAGTAGGGGTATGGCCATTCATGATGAAGTATTCTCCCAGATAGCAAACTAAGAAGTAAATTTCACTGATACTTTTCATCTTTAATACATTTTCATAGAAAACAAAATCAATAATTGGGCCATACGTGTAAGGGAAAGAAGTTGAAATGTTATTAACAATTTCTAAAATTTATTTTTAAAAGATGCGTTTTTTATCACAATGGCAAAGTTTGACATTCACAAATATAAACTTGGTCATAAGGACTTTTTGAACTTAGAACACTTGAAAATCCAGTTTTATCACATTCAACATGGTGTAACTTTCCCAAGATAGGCTGAGACTAACAGTTTAAAAATCCAAGTTCTAGTTAGTGTAATAATTTTTATTTGATTACTATATCAAGGTAGTTCAATAGGGCACCATGAGGGGGCACGTAGAATCTGAATTTCAGTGTGTAACTGCACATAGTTGGACACCAGACATTGTTGTCAGTTTCAAAGGAGTTATAACAGAAACGCTGACAGTTTCATCAATACCCATCCAAAACCTGGTATCTTGTAAATAAACATACCTCTAATTCACCATTATTCCAGATGAGATCCTTCTCCCTAATTGTGAGTTCATGTCCTGGAGGTGCTTTGGCATCATATCGCCCAACTTTCACAAATTTAATTATGCCATCATCAGTTACTTGCCAGTTTATTATGTCATATATGGCTGAAACATCACCATTTTTATCAAAATATCGTTCATTTCCTGATTGGTCAATGAACCTGACTTTCTTTATATAATGTACAAGCTATAAGGTAAATGTACATTAATAAACATTTTTAAACCCAATCACAGCACACAAAGAAGAATCAATATAACAATATACATTATATATATATAAAACAATATCAACTGGCTCTGCCCTTCAAACAGATAATTATTTCTAAAAAGGATTACCAAAATTATCTATTAAAAGGAGATCATTTTGATCTCAATGTTGTGACAGCTGGCAAAGATTTCATTAAAAGTCTTGGATTTGACTTTTTTTAATAAACCCTTCTGTTGAACATGTTAATTTAAAAGAAAACATTATGACATGATTTATGCAAGCAATCGTGTCATCAATGTTTGTTTAAGAAGTTATAAGCTTTTTTTTGTTAACTGATTTCTCCTGAGCAAAAACTTAGAATCAGGTTTGAAAACTGTCACATCAGTTACTCACTCAATCAACATCCTTGCAACTTTCTGTAGGGATTTTCTGCCATCAGTAGTATCTGCTATTTTTAAAAGCTTCTTTATATTATTTTCACCTAGATGTTTTGATACCATTTATACAATTATCCAGTGTTCTGCCAGGTAGTTATTGTTTCCAGAATATGTCAATTTAAATTATTTAGCATGTTTCTTTACAAAATGATCCTAATGATTGCAAGAATACACTTAACCCAATTTGTTAACTTTTCATTTTCTTTTAGATGTTGAATTTGTTACGGTAAGTAATTTTTTACTAAAGCTCACTAATAGCACCACAATGGGTTTCACCATGTGAATGCAGGAGCAAACTACTGCAGATTCTGGAATCTAAACTGAAACCAAAAAATGCTGGAAATCACACCAGACCAGGCAGCATCCATGGAGAATGTGAATGCCTGGAATTTCAACTTACTTAAAGAACAAAAAAAGATGAACAAAATTGCGCAAAGCAAGAGAGTCATATCAGAGATTCCCTGGAGTCACCATTCACTGCCCTTAGACCCATATGCTTAGACAAATAAGAAAAATCAAACCTGATAAAGGAGCATTTCTTTCACACTGCATCAATATAAACCAGCATGTTGTAGACGGTAATTTCTGGCCAACTTCCAGCAATCCCTTGAAGTACTGGATGAGTCAAAATTTCCTCGAAATGAATGTTGAAAAGACTGAAGCAATTGTGTTCAATCTCAACAATGAACTTTGCTTCCTCACCAATGTCCCTTTCTTTGACAGCTGTTTGAGGCTAAACAAGGTTGTTCCCAATCTTGATGTAATATTTGGTCCAGAGAGAAAATTTTAACCCTATATCAGTAATGTCATTTAGGCCTCTAACTTGCCTGACTTCACCTCATCTCAGCTGTTCTGCTGCTGAAACTTTCATCTGGGCCTTGTGCTAATCAAATTCACTCTTGACCAGCCTCCCATATTCTGCTTTCCTTGGTGACTATGTCTTCAGTTGTTTAGGCCCTAAGCTCAGGAATTCCCTCCCTCTGCATCTCAACTCACTTTGTATCTGAATTTCTTTTTATGTGGCTCACTTTCATATATTGTATCATATTAAAGGAGTTATCTAAACACAAGTTAAGACCATAAGACCATGTCACTTAGGAGCATATGTACATCATTCAGCCCATTGTGCCTGCTTTGCCATTCAATGAGATCATGGCTGACCTTTAATCCCCAGTTCTACTTTCCTACCTTGTCTCCATAACCCTTGATTCCCTTACTGATTAAAAATCTGTTGAATATACCTAATAACCCAATGTCTAAAGCCCTTTACAGTAAGCAATTCCACAGAATGACTACTTTCTGAGAGAAGAAATTCCTCCTCATCTTTGTTTTAATTGGTGGTTTGTTGTTCTGAGATTATGCCTTTGGTCCTAGACTTGCCTTCCCACCTATTTTTATGTCATCTGCAAATGTGGCTATTGTACATTCACTTTCCTCATCCAAGTCATTAATATATATAGAAACAATTGTGTCCCCAGCACTAATCCCTGTGGTACTCCACCATTTACAGGTCGACATCCAAAAGATGCCCCCTCTCCATTTCAACCTCTCTGTCTTCTATTACTTAGCCACTTCTTTATCCATGCTGATATGTATTACTTCCAATATCACGGGCTCATATCTTATTAAGTAGCCTAACGTATGGTATCTTATCAAATGTCTTCTGAAAATCCAAATGTATTACATCAATTGCTTCCCCTTTATGCACCTTGCTTGCTACCTCCTCAAAAGAACTTTAATAAATTTGTCAGTTATGAGCTCCCCTTCATGAAGCCATGCTGACTCCGTTTGATAATGATATTTATGAAGTGGTCTGTTGTTGCATCATTTATGAAGGACTCTAACATTTCTCACAGTAGAACTGGAAAACTGAGAAGAATGTGCTTTGCCGGTTTTGGGAGTAGTGTCCTAAAACAAGCACCAAGGCTTTGTTTATCAACGTGCACCATTTGTTTAGATGAAAGCTGTAGACACTTGGAAATAGCCAACATCCAATCAAGCAGCCAAAACACTTCTGGGAGGGTTCAGGCAGAGGAGGCTGCTCCTTGAAAATCATTCTCCAAATGTTCATTTCCATCCACAGAACAGATAATTTATCCTCCATAAAGATTAAAAATCTGACACCAAGACTCTAAAACTCTAACTGATAAAATTACAAGTGCGGATGATAAGAGAAACTGTTACAGAACGAAATCTGAACTAACCTGCCAAGGTTCAAAATCACGTATATTTGCACAGGTTCCATTTTCAAAAGGCCCTTTTCCATTTTCGCAGGCCTGCAAATCATGCAGGGCATAAGCAACTGCATGAACAGCATTGTTCATATTGCAGGACACTCGGAAGTTACTGTCATCCGTATAGGAGTGATTAGCAGTCCTCATATCTTCCAGCCCAGTGCAGATTTCCTTCAGAGCAAACTGACTCATGTTTGAATGCAGTTTATTATCTTCCTGTACCACAGGTGACCATAAACAATCGAATACCTCTTCCCAGAGTTCAGTTATAAATGTATCATGTACAGCATTAATTGGATTCATCTGAAAAAGAAATTCCTGCAGTCCTTCAATGTCACACAAAGGGAGCGTAAGTCCCATTGTTCCAGTCCAGTAGTTAGTGTGTTCTTTTTTTATAATAAATAGTGGACCTGATGTACTCCAACCTTCACTTGCTAGCCATGTTCTGTTTGTTATATTTTGTCTAACAACTTCTTCAAGTAAAGGAACTATATTAGTGTCACAAGAGAAAGCAACTATAACCCTTGCAGTTGACATTCTTATTATGTCAACAACTTGAAGATACTTCTCTCCGGACTTGACTATTGGAATTGTCTCAGAAAAGGCAATACACACACCAAGACTTTCTACATCTTTTCTAAACATCTGAGCTGCTTGTATGGCATAATCAATATCATCTGCTAATATTCCCACCCACTTCCAACCAAAGTGCTTAACCAGAAGGACAAAAACCTTGGATTGAAACATATCACTTGGCATTGTGCAAAAAAAGGATGGGAATTCTTCTTTATTGCTGAGAACTGGAATAGATGAAAAGTAACTAATCTGTGGAAAACAAAAAAAAAGTAATTAATAGCAGTATTCTTAAACTAATGCAGATCTTATTTCTAACATGATACAGCTTCCAACTTATGAAATTCTGGTGTTGCATAAATTGAGTTCATTTACAAAATGATTCCAGTCATTGGGTGATTCAGATTAAGATTTATACAGTTCCATGAAAACATGTGTGTCACAGAAACATATATTGCTACAAATGATGAATATAAATTTGGCAATGGGTTTTCTTTTAATTAGGTAGCTCATTATACAGTATTAATTCTACAACAGTAAATACTTGCCAATTTGAACCCAATGTAAAAGAAGGAAATGATTTGAATTTGCTAAATGATCCAAATACAATGATATTAGAGATGGACCCACCTTTGATAATTTAAGAATTAAACTACATTGACATCTTATCAAGTTTGTTTTTTTCATATTGCAAGCATATTTCATCTTACAGAGTAGAAATCAGCAGAAGTCTCAAAAGGCCATTGCAATTAATAACTTGTTGTTAGAATGGTACATTTGAATGTCACTCTTCACAGTGAGACAGTGGAGCTATACATTGTCCTTTACTAGTTTAAATTAGACACAGACTCACCACTCCCTCCTCCAGTTCATTTAAGCTTTTAGAGACAGCAGAGGTGCACTCGCAAATAGGTAAATAGTAAGTGAATGTCCTAGCTAAAGGACACTGGAACCACTATGAAGGAAAACCGGAAGTGAGGTAACCCAGCTCAATGGACCCCAGAGTTTAAAAACCAGGCGGGAAAGCACACTGACGCTTCATTGGAGGCTGCACTGAGGATGTTACCAAGCATGGTAACGAAATGTCTGCGAAACAACAAACCAGCTCGGCGAGCCAACCAACCGCAACACCCGCAACCCGAGAGACAGATCTACTCCAAAACCTTAGAAATTATTTTGTTTATTGCAGCATTTACACAGTTGAATTAAAGAAGAAAACAATTAGAATAATAATGAAGGAACTTTCTCTTGTTTCTGTTTAATATTTGATTTTGGAATCTGCCTTTGCAGCCCAGTTTCAGATATTCTTATGCACCTTGATTATACTAGGACTGTTAAAATCTTATCTCCAAACCTTGCAGGGATCATATTTTCCTGGTTTTTGCATCAGCTAAGTGAATGTTTATAACTGGAATGAGAATAAAACATTAATAGATAGCTATTTTGAAGACTAGGAAGTGGAATAAACTTTGATTATGACCCTTACTTAGTACTGTATGAACAATGATTCATCCAGGGCAGATTTCACATGTAGAAATCAGAACTGCTGCCATTTCATGCACGTGGTAAATCTGGCATGATGACATTGGGTCATAAAACTGACAATAACTCACCAACAAAAACAGAAATTACTGGAGAAACTTTACACTCTGTGGAGAAAAAGCAGAGATAATATTTTGGGTCCAGTGACCCTTCTGCAGAAATAGAACTCATTAATTTCCCATAGTCTGGTAGTTGGATGAGCAACAAAACTGACAGCTAATTCACCACATTTAAAAACCAATTGACTCAAATATTACATTACCCATTCTATAGTACAGTTGGAGATGTAAGGTGGGTGAGAGTGGGCAGGCCCATGATTTTGGAGAGGGTACCTCATGAGGAGGTTCACAATGGGGAACACCCTCACCTTACAAGATGGTACCCCCTTTTTACCTTTCCTCCCCAAATTCCAAAACTTGACTCACCTCCCACAGCTCCCTAAAGTGCCAATCCCTTCTTGCCAAAATGCCCAGACTCACCAGTAAATCATGCTGTTTTCTTTGTGGGAGTTCTGACGCTGCAGGGACACTAAAATATGTTGGCCAATCATATTGGTCAGCAGCTCTCTAGGATGGGGTTTCCTTCCATGAAAAGAGCAGATCACCCACTGAGCTCATTAATGCCTCCCACAGCATAATATCAACATGGGGCAGCCTTTGTAATGAGGAGTGAGCATTATGGCCTGCCCCAACCTGGTAAAAATCAGCCCCTGTTCTCTATGAATTGTAAGACTGTAAGCACTCAAGCAAAAGTTCCTTTGTTTAATATTTCTGGTGACCCTATGAGCCGACGTGAAGAATTTGCTGGCATGGAAGTGCAGTTACTGCCGGAAGCAGCCCAGTCATTCTAATTTATTCACATTGTGATCCCATGACGTCAATGGATATTAACTTGGGTCTGAGTGAAAAGGATACTAGCTTTCCTTCCAGATGAAGGTAAGATCACATCTCCTCTAAGCCCAACAAAGCTTCCCTCGACGTTATATGAAGATACTGGTGTTGGACTGGGGTGGACAAAGTCAGAAGTCACATGACAGCAGGTTATAGTCCAACAGGTTTATTTAAAGTCACAGATTTTTGGAGCGCTGCTCCTTCATCAGACGAAGGATGTGCACTTCAAAAGCTTGTGATTTTAAATAAATCTTTTGGACTGTAACCTGGTGTTGTGTGACTTCTGACTTTGTCCCTTGACATACACTTTTCTTCTTCCCTCTTGTTAGATTCGTCCAAAAAAATCCTTCCTTTGCTACTGATGGGGACATCTGGTTCCTGAACTCAAATGCACCTGCTTGGGTTCATGCCCATTTCAGGAAGGAAACAGATTGGTGCATAGAGATGAGGCCCAGAAGTTAAAACATGCGGACCTTTGCTTTAGCTGCCACCAATGCCTCACTTAAAACCCACGGGGAGTTAAATTTGACCCAGCTCATTTCAAATATGTTGACAATCTAATCAAAAATAATGAACAGAGGAAAGCATTGTACCTACACTTATCTTAACAATGACGACAACTTATATTTATTAAACCTTTTTAATGTAATAAAACATCCCAAGACAATTCATGGGAGCATTAGAAAATAATATATGATACTGACGAGATTACAGAGATAGAGAGAGAAGAAGCCAGGACAGATTTAAAACTGAGGTTACAAATTTTAAAATCAAAATGTTGCTTAAGTTAAACCAATATAAAATCAGACAGTGCTGGGATAATGGATGAATGGGATTTGCTGAAATTGACGACAAAGGTGGCAGAGTTTTAAGTGATCTCAAGTTTAAGTTCACAGCAATAAATTGACTCAATAGATCCTTATCACTCCCTCCTAATAACCACCAGACGTTTGTTTTTGCTTAGGTCGATTAGGGACATTGTAACAGCCACTTTTTAGTTAGTTATTTCTTTAGACATCACAGTTTAATATCAGTAGAGCTGAAGTTTTAATCAGTCTGTCTCTTTCATGTACAATTATTGAAGCACAGTTCCTTGACTTAAACATGATTCACTCACCTGTGGAAAATGATAGATCCCAAGTATTGAAGCCATTATTGAGATTGTTGATGTTGAGGCACCTATTACAGCAGCTAAGGAAGAATTTAACTGGCACTGGTAATTTGGTGTGAATTTCTGCTGTCCAGATATCAGAGCAAACGTATCCTCTATAGCTGTAGGAATATTATAGCAAGTATCATAGATGGCATAGCCCAGAGTTATATTTGGCAAGAATGTTCGATTTTTATTTATTTCATTAATTGTGAAGATCATTCCTTGCATCCATCGATATGTCCTAATATTGAAGCTTGAAAGCAGAAATTAACAGTAACTATAATTAACATAATCTTAAAAATTCAAAATTGAGCATAAAATGCTTAACAGGGAGGCAACACATAAAATGACCTGAAGAGGAATTTGGCATGGGTATCAAAGAGTGTCAGGTAGAAATGTAATGGACCCCTCACTTCCCCCACTTTAAACAGGAGGTCCTGTTGGATGGGGTGGTCCAGAAGAGAGATGTGCTCCCACTGAAGGATTGCCAGACAAGGCTGCACCTCCAGAATCTGCCAGCCTGGTCTGCCATCACCAGCTGGGTCAGTGCCATCTCCAGGTTGTGGAGGAATGGCCAGCAGTGCTACAAGAAGGTCATGCAAAGAGGACTTAGCCAAAGCTACAGTAAATGAGGGTGTTGCGTGGGTTAACATTAAATAGCCTGGATTCTCTAGAAAGGTTGGAAGAAATTTGAGTGGATACCTATCCCAATTGGGTTAATAAGACAAGTAAGGTTAGCAACCATGGATTATTATTCTTAATGTCCCAATCTTTTTAAATATGGGGTTGATGCCAGAAGACTGGAGGAGTACAAATGTTAAAGCCTTGTTGAACAAGGAACAGAGGAGATTTATTTAAATGGCCAGAGATGAGGGAATACAACCATTTGGATTGACTCGAGGTGCTGGGATGGTTCCCCTTAAAGTAGAGAAGGCTAAAAGGAAATATGATGGATATATTGAAAATTCAGAAATATTTAGATAGAATATTGGAGAGCAATTGTTTCCTGTAGATGAAGGACTAAATGTGAAAGGACACAGCTTTAGGAAAATGGCAACATGGGGAACTTTTTAATACAATTGGTGGTTAGGATTTTCAATTACTCTGTCTGCTATGGTGGTGGCTGTAAATAGAATAGTAGCCTTCCAACAGCAATCAAAGGGGAAAATATTGTGGGGAGTATAGGATTGAACTGGGGCGTGGGACCAAATGGAGTCAAAAAGCCAGCGCAGGCTGAATGGATGAGTGGCCTTCTTTTGTGCTGTATCATTCTATGATTTTATAATTTGTATGAATGTTGACAGTGCCTAGAAAGTCATTTTTTATGCTAAGAAAGTTTACTATTCACAGATCCATCAAGATTTGATATCTATAACCTCCATCATAGATCAATCATAGAATCGTTACAGTGTGGAAGCAGGCCATTTGGCCCATCAAGTCCACACCGATCCATCAAAGAGCATCCCACCCAAACCCACCCCCACCCAATCCCTGTAACCCTGCATTTCCCATGACCAATCCAGCTAACCTGAACTCTTTGGACTATAGGACAAAACCAGAGCACCCAAAGGAAACCCACACAGATATATGGAGAATATGCAAACTCTACACAGCAAACCCGGGTTGCTGGTGCTGTGAGGCATTACTGCTAACCACTGAGCCACATGCCGCTCCTTATCTTCTCCTCAATGCCTGAATAGCAATAGAAAATTAATACAGCCACTGTACTAAGATAGCCACCCACTTCTTCCTCACCTGGTTGGAAAAATTTGTACTTTACATCTTAGATGCATCACGGAACACAGCTGTCACACTACTCAATGCACTATAACCTCATTAGTTACCTAGCAGGGCGTCCTGACACTTATCACTTAGTGCTGATCTACATTCTGCACTTTCCCCACTTAAACCTTCTAATCTTCCAGCTGTATGCAAACATCTTACTGTCTCCATATATTCTACATTTTACTGGCACACAATCAAATACTGACACATTGTCAACTTTCTGTTTCCCTCAAGGAAATTGACAATGGGTGGCACAGTGGCTCAGTGCTTAGAAAGGCTGCCTCAGAACGCCAGGAACCTGGGTTTGATTTCAGTCTCAGGCAGCTGCCTGTGTGGAGTTTGTATGTTCTCTCCGTGTCTACGTGAGTTTCCTTCCAGTGCTCCAGATTCCTCCAACTGTCCAAAGATATGCAGATTAGGTGGATTGGTCATGCTAAATTGTCCATAATGTCCGAAGATGTGCAGGCTGGGTCGTTTAGCCATGGGAAATGTAGGGTTTCAGGGATAGGGTAGGGGGCTAGATCTGGGTGGGATGCTCTTCAGAGAGTCAGTGTGGACTGGATGGGCCAAATGGCCTGCTTCCATACTATAGGGATTCTATGATTGTGACTCACAACAGACAGAAGTGTTAAATGATGGATGGAGAGCTACCAAGGATCTATTCTCTCAGCATTTTTGAAAACAAGATCCAGGAGGATTATGGGAACCAGAACAATGGACACAGTGCACAGGGTGCTACTCAAGGCCAATTGCATGATGATAGGTTGGTGCCTATGGGTCCTTCTCTAATTTACTCCTCACCTTTATCCCGAAAGTTGTCACCAAGTGGAAACTGTTGAAGTTTGGACCTTCTGTTTTCCTCCTCAACCCCTTCCCATACCCCTCATACCCACTATGCTTACTGTTTCCAGATTACCAAAGGGTGCTGATAGCCAGGCCCTGCAGCCTCAGATGGTTAAGTGAAAGGAGAGATAGAGCTCTGAGGAAAAAGTACCATTATTTTACCTTTCACTCACAGGTACTCACTCTTTCAATGGCACTGGATGTGTACCAGAGGCCAGAGGCAATGGTCAGCCTGTATGTAAATCATTCAGAGGACAAGGTTGCACGTAAATTCTGCTACAGGGGTTTCATATGGATTAAGTTGGGGTGGACAACAGGAAAATGATGATTGGCAACATTGTCATGTAGCCTGTCATTAGCTAGTAGCATTGAAGAATTTTCATCCTCTGTGGCAAAGGGCATATCACAGAGTTTGAAGGCTATCCTTATCATCACTGATGGCAGCAAGGATATCCATGGCAGCACTGTCAGATCAACAGCTAATGAAGCGACTGCTGCCCACTATCTCAGCTTCCACTGCAGCACAGTATGAGTCCTGACTGTAAACTCAGTCAGCGGTCATGAAATCCCTCATTTCTAAAATTCAACCTGCAAGTCTGCAAAGCTGTGGATTGATATACTGGGTGTGGTTCTCAGTGCCCAGCAGATCACAAAAATTGCTGAATTGCTACTTCTTGCAGTGATAGTGGACCTATGGGGCAGGAACAAGGTGTCCTCTCTTAGGAGGACAACCATCATGATCCAACCCCTACCAATCTACTGCTGTCCTCGCTGGTGCGTCTCTGCCAGCCAGCTCTCACCCGTAATGAGGTGATGAAGTCTGAAATATATCAGGATTCAAAGATAACATATCAGAGCAAAATTTTGAACGTTTATCAAAGCTCTGATATTTACGTATTGATGACCTGAGTAACATGCAAATCATATTACAGCTTGAATAAAACACCATGTTATTCTGCACCTACCGGTCATTGCACATTCTATCATCTGGCTTAGATGTGAAGGACAAATTGAATACATCAGTGGCATCATGAAGAGGAAACACTCCACCAATAATGATATCACCACCCTGAAGTACCCCATTGGCTGTATATTCCTGAAGTTTACAGCCTGATGGAGCAGCTTCAAATTTTGAAAACTTACAAGCGAACAACAGAAAACATAACCTGAAATAAAAACCCATTTTGACAAGAATTGATACCTGTAGCAGAATGACTTCCTCCACACATATATATAGCCTTTTAACAATTGCCTGTTATTACTTCTGTGGATATAATTATCTGCAGATTCCTACTGAGAATTATTATGATTACAACCATGAGATCATACAAATTGGTCCTGGGATCTCAAATTATGAATAAATCAAACGAAAATATATTTAAGAGTTTCAGGTAAACAACATTCAGTGATATGTTAAAAGCATTTACTTTCAATTTATCATAGATTTATAGTTGTGAGGTAAAAATTGAGATTCAGTCAGCTCAACAACTCTTGTGAAAAATGTGCAATAGAGTTAACATTCTAAGTGCAATAAGTACAAAATCTGTCATCTTAAGAAAGAACATATATTATGAATACAACTTTTTGTGAGAGTTACATGTTTCAACGAAGATCTGTGGTTCGGGTTTTGTTTGGAGTTGTTGGTTGGTTCGCCGAGCTGACTGGTTTGCACGCATGGCTACATATGTGTACATAACACAAATTGTGTATACAAACACTAAAATGAGAATTGTAAAGAATGACTTACAAAGGGATCTTTGTTTTATTTAGGAATTTAGGTATGCTTAAATGTTGAGTGGAAAACACAAAGCTGCACTTTGCTGGGAGGGTGGACAAGATAGTGGGGAGGGGTTTTCAGTAAAGTGGTAATTAAGCCACCCTTCTCCCCTCCAACATCCTGGCTCTGACACCATTGAGAAGTTCCTCACCCAGGAGTCAACTTGGTTGACAGCTTTGGGTTTCATTTGGAAAGGAACTGCCGAGTAGCATTTGTAGTTAATTTCATTCTGTAAGGATGTGGGGGAGCTCAGGCTGTGGGCACAATGCAGGAGATCAATTTTGTATTAGGGCCACGAGCTGAGTTCCCATCACAGGCTTGACGGTGGGGACATAGGATGGGTTGATACTGAAGGCTTGGGGAGGAAGTTGGTAGTTGCAAATCTAATGTGGACACGGTGGTAAGTGGAAACTCAGGGAAGTAGACTGCAACCATAGGGCTTGTAGACCTCAGCTGGAATACAAGCCAAGGGGTAGTGGGGAGGGGAGGCTGGAGATATCAAGGAAGGTCAGAAGGTACAGATGCTTTGGGGTGGGGGTGTAATTGGTGAGAGGGGAGGTGAAAGTGAAGGTATACCAGAGGTGAAGAAGAAGAATAAAATGTTCAGGAATAGCTGATCATGGGGTGAGTGACTTGGATAGAAAAGTACCTCATGGATCCAACCATTATAACAAGGATTTAGCTGCCTGGTTTCCTGCTACATGGGAAGCTATCCATAGTTAAATTTGAAGTAGTGACCTCAAACAAAGTGGCCAACCTCAGTTAATACTTAGTGTAAACTTCGCAAAATCTGCTTGGGTACTGATCCTAATAA